TTCTTTTTTATTTGTTTTACTGGTGTTTTATTTTGCCCCAAAATTCCATATTTATATTCTCCATTTCATCTTGATAAATGTTTCATCAAAGGAATGCACAGAAATGTTTATCCTCCGACAGTATAGTTGAAGATATGTTACTTTCGATATACACAAACATACACACCTTACTGTGGAATATTGGTGTATTATGAAAGCGCTTTAGTTTTTTGCTTCACTCAGCAAGCTATCAAACTGGAATGCATGCCTTAGTTATCTATATTTCGTGTTATATTATACTGTAAATGTTTTAGATTATAACAAAAAAAGAACTTGAAAATTTTGCTTATTGTAGAGAATATATACATATATATAGAACAGCATTCTTTTGTACTTAGTGTCAATATATTATCCTCTATACAACCTTCCTCCTCCCTATATATTAAGCTATCTTGTTCTGAGGCTGTGAAAACAGTTAAGTTAGAACTTCCTGTCTAATAGTATCTGTGAGTTCGATCACGGACTGATACCAGTTAGAGAACCATTGAAAACCAGCCAGGGAGCACTGGATAGACAGCTGTTTTATCCCGATTTGAGAATCATCGGCAGTAAGCAACCAATACTAAAGTTCGAACCCATGGCCTTCCGGTTACCAGGAAAGCTAGCTCGTATACAAATCAGCTAGCGGTACCCGACACCTTAATGATCAGCACATGAATTCTAGCTTCTACCAATCCGTGATTTTAGCGTGACCACCAACCACTGTCATCTGCGGCAACTACATCCTCCCTTTGTTTTGCTGTTTACTTCGTTTACGTAGTGGTATTAGATGTGTGCGTCGGTAGAACAGTGGTTAGGACTCTAGCCGACCATGTACATGGTCCGGGGTTCGATCCCCTGCCGACGCACACCTGATATCTACGGTCTGCCTGCAAATTTGGGCTACCGATATCATATGCTGCAAATTTCATACTTGTACCAAAAATACTGTGTGGTTTCAAGCTATAATCAAAATTTTTTTAAAAATTCAGCGTATTTGTACAGCTGATGTAACAGAGAATGAAAATAAAATACTAATGGACACTTAAGTCGGAAACTAATATCCTTCAAAGTCTTCAAAACTGGTGTAGAAGTCAGTTACCTTCAAAACCTACAACCTATTCTGTCTCCATGATATCGACCATAAGGAGTTGTTACATCGATTGTATGCCTCAGGTTTGTGTTCTCAAGGTAGCACATGAAGATGTCTTCTAAATCATGGCTAAGTGGGCTCACCATGATGACACAATCTAATAGGCTGTAGAGTTTTGTTAAACTGAAATTGTGAATCCGTGGTAAACATTAGCAGTAGTCGTTTGAATTCCGACAGTGGGACTGAGAGTTGCAGACATTTCAACAGTATGCCACCCACAACCTTACCAGCAGTCAAACTGAACCCGCTGAGCCTTGATTGATTTACTCACTTTATTCGTTATGTTCGCTTTTTGAGCAAAGACACAGACGTACCACTATAACAGATATTTAAATCGTTATTGCTGTACTGCGTACTGTGTAAGTGATGTTTCTTGATTCTAAGAAAAATAGTTTAGATTCATGAATGGGCTATTAGATTATTTCCAATTTAGCCCTACCTAAGCTTTTATCGACTGACTACCGATGAGGTTTCCACTTCTCTTTAAAACTTAGTTATTACTGATTTTTGAATCCCTTGCTGTCTAGGATGAAACAGCTTTTCCTCCAATACTCCCTGGCTGGGTTTCAATGGTTCTCTAGCTGATAACAATCCGTAGTCAACTCGTAAAAACAAATCTAATCATTACAAACCAACTATTGAAAATTTGTATAGTGTTGTGATTAGAAGACGGAGATTATCAGCAAAATGTGGTTTGACGTATTTGCTCAATACATTTCGATCAACAATCTGATTCGTCACACATATATTTACCTTTCAAGTCAGTTTATATGAAAAATAAAAATCAATTTTGGTGTGGTTGTGTTCTCTGAGCTGGATGGTTTGGTTGCGAAGCTTTCATTGCTCTATTGAGCAACATCTTCAGCGCATACTTCGATGTGAAGTGAGCTTTTAGAATTCTCTATGAGTTTATTAGTCATCTCTTCTAGTAACCTTGAACGTGATTGGTTGTTTTCGTGTGACATTTCATCCCCTAGTTTGCTTGTCTCGATGCTGGTTGCTTCTTTGGTCTGACTAACGACATTTATATTGGTTAGATGTCGAGCTATAGGTAAAGTTAGTAGTCTGTCACTTGCGTCTATCTATTTTCCAAGTTTCTCTCCCACCATCACATAGAAAGCGCGATTACTCCTCCATATGTATATGTGTCCACCCTCCCACACACACACACACGCGTAAATTGGTATATAATGTGAGGTGTGACATAATCACCTGTGTATTTTGAGGTTTGCAGTAGAGCATGCTTTTGTCTTTTTCAGTAATTATAAGATAGGCTACATCATAAGTTCTGCAGATGACCGAGTTTTGTCTTGATCTCAAAATCCTACTATTTACCTGACCATTTCATGGCAATATAATGAAAACATCTATCTTGGAGACAGAAAAGATTGTAGGTTTTGAAGCTAACTGACTTCAACGCGGACTTTGAATACTTTGAAGGATATCTGTTTCCGAAGAAAGTATTTTGTATTCATTCTCTAATACATCAGTTGTACAAATAGGCTGAATTCTATTGTATTGCGCAAACACATCATACCACATTTTTCAGAGATTCTCCGTCTTCTAATAACACTACCCAAACAGAGTGAACAACGAAAGAAAAGTGAGGATGGAGTTGGCACCGATAACAATGGATGGTTTTCAAATACCCAGATCGCTGAGATCCTGGACTTATCACTGTTTTCAGAAGATTAAGCTTATTATGTAGAACACTATGGACTGTCACCGACGTGGAACAACAGAAAACGATCGGGCAACACAACTGCTTATTCTTCAGGTGAAAACGAAACAGCATTACAGTGGTTAATCAATGCCTTACACTGTAAATAAACGTTAATATAATATACAAGGATACTTCTCATCGTAATTTTCCAGTCTTCTGCCAACCAGTACACAATTAAGCAATGACGGTCTTCGTATCGCCTGCCAAATGGAGAACATTTCAAACAAACAAACTATTCAACGTTCACCAACATTGACATTGGTGGTCATGCTAAAATCACGAGTTGGTAGAAGTTAAAATTCATGAGCCATTAATTCGGGTCCCAGTGGCTTAATGGTCTATGATCTAGCTCAACATGGAACTGGAAGGTAGCGGGTTCAGAATCCAGTGAGTGCGTACTGCCGATGAGTCCTAAACTAGGACGAAACAACTGTCTAGTATTCCTTGGTTTTCAATAGCTCTGTAACTGATGTCAATCCATTTTCTAATCTGAAACAAAAGAATCCCTACAAATTAGTTAAGCGTGGTAAAACTTCACTGATCTGCTTAATACCATAATTAGTAATCAAGACAGCAAACAAATTTACGCAAAACTACATACTACTAATCGATTGGAATGAGTAGTAGCTTACCGATCTGCTCATATTTTTTATTATCAAACATACTTGCATACTTGTACACACATTCTCTTGCTTTATTAATTACCATTTATAGTAATATCAAGCAAATCACACATATTGTCGTGATCGGACTAACACTTGGTTTCTCGTCAGCCTAGTTTGAGACTCATCAGCAGTATGCACTCACCCCAATGTCAGGGTTCGGACCCACTGCCTTCCAGTTACAAGTTGAGCTAGCTCGTAGACCATTTAACCAGGCACGAGGACCCATTCCAATGTCCAGTTCATGAATTCCAGCTTCTGCCGGTGCCTTAATGGTTTAGGAGTTCGCCTTGTGAACGGAAGGTTGTGCGTTCATATCTCGGTGGGTACGTACCTCCGAACAGTCTCAAACTAGGCTGACGAAACAGATGTCCAGTACACCCGGCTGGTTTTCCAATAGTTCTCTAACTTATGTTATTATTTTTGTACACCTAGCCATCCATACTACTCTCGATAAACAATAATCGATGCCAACTTTTAGTTAGAATTCTCGACCATTTTCTTTAGAAAGCTGTAATCAGTAGTAAGTAATCAGGTAAGTACTTAACTTACTTTTTCAGTGGAGTATTTCTCACTCGTAAAAAATTACTCATTATTTTCTATATTTGGTTTGTAAGGATCAGCTTTGTTTTTACGAGTTGATCACGGATTGATGCGAGTTAAAGGACCATTGAAAACAAGCATTAAAATACTGCTAGACACCTGTTTTATACTAGTATTGGGAATCATCGGTAGTACTCACCCACCTCACTGCCAGGGCTCGAACACAGGACCTTCCGGGTACGAGGCAAGCTTGCTAGCATACCACTGAGCCACTTGGAACCGACACCTCAATGGCCATCCCATGAATTCTAACTTCTACCAATTCGTGATTTATCGCGATCCCTAATGCTGGCAGATTTTTTGGTTTCAAACTATAACAAGTGCCGGGTTATAACTTCTTTAATCTACTGAAATACCCCAAACTACAATAAACATGGTGATAAGAGAAATCTTGTTGAATTATTGATTGGAAAAATGTAACAATCTTCAAGTATTGGTTTTGTAAGGACTTTGTTTTATTGGTTGGAGGATTTCATCATGAGCTGACATCATTTAGACAACCATTGGAAAAAATAGGAGTATTGGACAGCTGTTTCGTCCTGGTTCGAGACTCTTCATCAGTATGTACCCGCAGGGGTTCTAACGCAGCGCCTTCTAGTTACAAGGCGAGCTAGCTTATAGACCATTAAGCCACTGGGACACAATCCAGTGGCCAGCCCATGAATTCTCACTTCCGTCAATTCATGACATAGCGCAACGATTTCGCAATGTCTTCTTCGATGAGTAACTGTTCTGAGCTTCGACCAGCCCTACCATACTGGTCAAGACTTCCCAATAGAAACGCAGATTAACTACCTGAATAGGGCCAGTCGTTAGTGAGCATCAGGTCACTTTTCAAGTATTGGTTTTTGTAGGCATTTTGTTTGATTGGTTGATTGGGTGAAATCCTTCAACAACTGTAAGAATCGCTTAACCACAGGCTTTATGTTCTCAACAAATAAGAAAACACAGTCATAAAAGAAAGAAATAATGGTTTCCCCTCATTTTTATCTTTATTTAAAACGAAAGTAAGTCAGTAATGAGCAGGAAAAGGTGACAGAAGTCGATATAAAAAACACTGAACTTTGAAATACGACAAAATGAATAAAACAAACAATCCAACGAAAGTGTAGACAACTTCCCCGTTGGGAAAGTCCGAATTCCCCATTGATGACTAGATCCCCATATCAGTATGAAACAGTAATTTGTTAGAAACTGAAGGTAGGAACATCAAAAATGAGTAGCGAATTCATTCTGAATTGAATTTGTTTTCATACAGACAAGACAAATAACCCATATTTTAATCTGGCCTATATATGTATATATATTTATTTATATAAAGGTGGTTTGAGTAACCTGGTCTCGTTAGTGTTATGATATTTACTGAATTATCACTGTTCATATTTGTTAGACGTAATTTTGAAAAAGAAAACAACAACAAACGAACAAACAGAGAGAAAGACGATCAAGTTTATGGTAACCTTCTGTTCTCTTCTGAGGATAATCTATCCAATATTGTATTTAAATTACCATTGTGCTGTCGAATTAAATTGGTCAAGTACACATCATTCTGTTGAAAACCCATCAGACGTAACCGACTAATGATTGCCATTGTATCAACTGATGTCTTCCCGGCTACACCTGGTTGTCTTGGTAAATTCATCATAGATGGCGGTAGTCGGTTAACTTTAGGCGGTAACTGTCTATTCATAGTAGGACTATTCATAGCTGGACTATTCATAGGGTAGGCATAATTATTAGGTGGTGTTGAGATAGTTTCATGCGGCATAACCATATTCTGTGTAAGAGGTGGTGTCGCCGGTTGTCCTTGCATTGGACCAGGAAGTCCTGCTACCATCATTCCTGGTTGATAGTTTGCATAAGCTTGAGGTGGATACCGACTGTAGCCTGGATACATTCTTGGAAAGGCTACGTTTGGAGCATAACCAGGGAGTATAGGTTGTTCAGGTTTCAATGATGGTGGTAGGTTTGGATCGTTTGGAGATGGACTGAGCTGTGGAGCAGTTGGAGTACTATGACCATAATCACTTCCTGCACTATTGGTATTATTTTGATAGTGTGTTGGCGTTGTAGGAGCTTCGTTTGTCTGTTTAGTGTCTGATTCGCTGTTCTGTTGACTTTCATTGGTATTTTCTACTACTTTGCCAACGTTGGCTTCACTAAGGTCAAGATGTTCTAATTCTTCAGGTAAGTCGGGAAGTTGGATATCTTCACCGGTTGCACGTTTTGGTTTACTCACTGGAGGATGTTTCAGATCACTCTGCTTGCTTGCTACATAAATTCGTATACTTTTTGCATTTCCATCGAGTCCTGCTGTAGAGACAATTGCGTCATGCAGATCGTCAGTACAACTGATTCTACACATATCTTCTCCATCTGAAAATATGAATAAAGTAGTGGGTAAACTTATTATTTAAATTTTATACGAAGCTACATTCGGTTATATTATGAGTAAAACTGATGAAAAACAAGATTCGAATTCTGTTCAACACAAATGTTAAGATGGTTCTTCTACACAGGTCAAAAACTTGACCAGCGTGTCACGGAAAGCATTTCCAGCAGGCCTATGCAGACTCTTATCAATAAACAGCTGCCACTTTTGCTGGCTCCATATTGATGATCAAATAGCCAGCCGAAACGAATTAGCTGCAAAAACTCTTACAATGAACAAATCAACCAAGAGCTGATCGCTCAAAACAATTGTAGGAGAAATCTGAGATGGATTGGTGGGCATAAGCTACTGAGAAGGCCGTCGGTCGAATGATATTGCGTTCAATGCAGGTCACTGCTTGAATAGAATCCGAATAGGAAGCGACGAGCGGGTCGTCAATGCAAGAGTGACATGGAGGAGATCGTGTGAGGAAGAGATAAGAGAGTTTGGGCAATCGTGAACCTAGATGAAGAGTATGGCAGCAAAAAATAGAACAAAGTGAAGGTGTGTTGTTAAAGACCGATGTTCCACTCGGAGCCTACGGGAACAATAATTATTATTATATTATTCTTTCCTTTAATTCCTAGAGGAACATAGGGCTTCAGCTACACGTCTCCATTGCGTTCGGTTCTCTGTTAACTTTTTCACCTGGCTCCACGTCTGCCCACATGCTTTCATCTCCTCTTCACATCAGCTCCTTCGCCATGTCACTTTCGCACTGACGACCAACTCGTCGCCTCCCATTAATGCTCCACTCGAGCGATGACCTGTCTTGTGATGTCTTTTGATGGTTTGTTTGTTCAGAGTATGGCCAATCCACCTGTATTTATTCCTGCATATCTGTTGCAGAACCAGTTCCTGTTGGGTTGGTTCGATCCCAGAGGTCCATTCTTGTTGCTGATCTTTTCTGACCGGCCATCTGACCTTGAGTAGTACTGAGCGAAGACAGTTAGCTGTTGATGAAGGTCTGTAGTTTGTTTGAGGTGCTCTTCATGACGCGCCAAGTCTCTGATCCGTGTAGCGAGTAGCACTGACTTCACAATGGAGTGAAAAATCCGGATCTTATTTTTCATGCTGAGTGAGCGGTTGAACTCCACACAGACTTGAGAGTAATGAAAGATTGCCTTGCTTTCCCGATAATAGTAACTATTATTATTACTTATTACACTAGTTAGTAACTAGTGTAATGTGTCTAGTCCTCCTTCTATCTATGGTGCAGACTGAATTCTATCAGTCAAGTTTTCAATGTGACCAATCAAAGTATACAAGTCAAACAGGAGGTCAATCGCCAGTCCGAATAGCTCAGTGGTAATATCTCTAACTCACAGAAGCATTAGGTGTTGACGCGGGTTAGAGTCTCAGAAGGGACATGAGTTCTTTCAAGATTACAGATATGCCTGTCTTGTTGACTGACTGGTGGGTGCCAACTAGCATGAAACTTAGGTCAGATGGAGCTTCTTATAGCCTATTTCCTTCAACCACCTAATATGAAAATGAATATTCTTGGACTGATTCCAAGTTGAAACCACCAGGGCTTTTTAAGTAGTTTATTCTAAAAGAATGATAAATTAATCTGATGAAGTATATATCGGTAAATATATTGACAGAAAAGCAACTGAAAGGTTTGTAAACCCTTGGTATTGACTGTGTGTGATACACCTTCAGCGGAGAAGATTCATCTCATTTCAAAAGGGAATCCGTATTTTCTCCCTTTACATCCCATGAAACTGATGAAATGTCAGGGAGGGGTGAAAAGTGTTTGATGTTACAAGGTGGGTTGTTTATCACATCGAATTACTAAACATACATTAATTACGAAGGCGTACGTTAAAAATGAAAGGTGAGATGTTGGGATGCATTGTTTTCGTTCAAGTGAAGGTATATTTACAAGTACAAAAAGGTTTCCTTAAGGATTTCTAACAAATTACAACAAATAGTCTCATATATATTATCCCAGTAAGGAACAGCTGCCAAGTACTCAATGATCGTAATCGAGCTTGAGTTTAGTCCTAGTAGCTTAGTGGTCTATGAGCTTTCCTAGAGTCGAACCCTTGTAGTGAGGTAGGTGCATACTACCTATGAGTACCAAGCTAGGCTGACGAAACAGCTAGCTGTCTAGCAGTACTCCAGTGCTGGTTTACAATGATCGGTTCTCCCGCTGATATCAATCCATGAAGAACCTTGAAACAGATCAAATCCCCACAAAGAAAATCTTGGAAATAATTTCTAGTCTGAGAGGTTTTGAAATCTAACAGAAATCTAGAAAAAACAAAATAATTGAGCAAAGAATATTCTTTTCGATGATTCCCTATCTTGACTTTATAATTATGTTTATATTTGTATACATAGAATACTCTAGAACAGACGTCAGTAACAATATTAGTGTTTCGTTTAAATACTATCGTTTTTTTAGATCATGGTGGAATTGTAGTTCAAGAAAGATGCATAAATTATAATAAGCATAAAAATGTAATAGTAAATAGAATATCAAATAAAATTAAGGGGAAAATTTCCACAGCGAATTGAAGATCATTAGAATTTAGTTGGCCAGCGGGGTAGGGACAGTGTCTGAATTAGCTTCTATTGGATGCATAATTTAGATTTCTTAATGTGGATTCCAGCTGTCAGCCTCTGCCATATGTAGTAGACAAACTCTTAGGGCGAAGTTAAGGTTACTTGGTATGTGATAAATGACTTTGAAAGTGGCCTTGTGTTCTGTGTCCACAAGATAAGGTAGAATAGAGATATGAGTAGATTTTGTTTGTCCTTTACTTAACCACTATGCAGGGTGATATTCCGAAATCCAAAGAGAAACACGCCTAATTGTACAACCTATGTAACTGGCTCCACAGGAGCAGTTCAATTGATAGATACACATCGAAAGAAGAGGCGAAATTAGACAGTTTATCTTTTACTCCCGAAAGCAAAATACGAGTGGTTTTGAAGACAAGGAGTAATTCAGAAGCAGGGAATGCTCTTTTTATCTCATTCTCAAGGCGTTGTGTTAATAACTTGCTGATGTTATCATCCCCAAGGAGCTGAATTTGTAAGAATAAGGCCTTTTTCTGGAACTGTTGGTACTTTGGGCTGCCTTGATTTTTATTCACATTCTTATCGATAAATTTCTCTGGATAACCACTTTCACTCAGCAAACTGTTTTTATAATACTCAGTTCTTCATTAAGACATTCATCAGAGCAGATTGCTCTTGCTCTATGGCGGACCAAGCACTTTATTAGACTGTGTTTTTATTTCAAGGGCACGAAGCTGGAAAAATGAGTAAGCCGACAGTAAGTTGATGTAGGTTTTCTATATACACTTCTTCCTGTTGTTGTGCAGTCTTCTTTCTGTTCATAAGGATGTCTAAAAATGAAATACTAGAGTCTTTTTATTTCCTTCTCGATGATAAAATTTATTGCAGGATGAACATCGTGAAATTTGTCCAGGATGTTCTTTGACTAATCGTCATTTTTCATAATAAAAAAATGTTTTTTTATTCCTTCACGTTCCCAGTGGAATGTAGAGCATCAAGCTAGAGTCCTGAAGTTTCGGTAGTAGTGGTGTTTCTTTTTACCGAATGGGGTTGCTAGCTTTATGTACAACCTTTCCTCTTTATCAGTCTTATTACTGGTCTGCCGAGGTAAAGAAGTGCGTCGGGTGGGGATCGAACCGTTAACCAGGTGTGACGTGGTTGGCAAGCATTCTACCTCTGTCACCGACTCAAAAACATAAAATAAAATGTACCATCCATGTAAAATAATTTTTAAATATTTGTACACACCTACAAATTTTCATTACTTTAACCTTTGTTTGTGTTTACAAGAGTAAATAGAGATCCTCAATAATACACCATTATGTGTCTACTTCAAACCAATATTAAGTCCTGATTCAGCTATTATGGTTATCTCAAAATAATTTAACATTTCATTCACAGTACTATGGTTGAAGTGGTGGTAGGAATATCTGATGAAGAGATGCCTTATTTAATTTTGAGAAGTATTTGTGAATTTTTCTAGTTGTTCAGACAAAAATATATGCCGTTAGAGAGAACCAGTGTTTGAAATGTTAACAGCAAAATAAGTGATGAAATGCGTTAACACAGAAAAGTCTGAAGTGTAATTTAATAATGTTGTCATTTAGTCTGTATTGATTTCTTCTAATGCTAGGTAGCAGTTTTACGCCCTGAAATAAAGCTTCTAAAAATAGAACACTTAGATAATACTGAAAACCACGGAGTGCTAGGCATCTATGCTCATCCTTGTCACATAATCCAGTAGTATAAGGTGTCATTGAGAAAACCAGCACTTATGCACTGCCAGACAACTGTTTCTTCAGCCTCGTTTCAACCTTTTCAGCAGTACGTATCCACTCCACTGACGGGGTTCAAACACAGGACCTTCTAGTTACAAGGCGAATCAGCCCGTAGACTATTATCCCACTGGGTTCTGACTCCTCTAAAGCGAGCCCATGAATTTCAACTTCTGTCAACTCACGCATGATATAGCGCTACTGGCACTTGCCAATGTCATCAATGGCGATATTTTTGTCCTCAGTGCCGATAGGGTGAACCCCAGTGGTCACAACTTACCACTAGATGCCAAATAACTATCTACCTGAATAGGGCCAGTCGCTAGCGAATTCTGGTGGGTACGTACTGATGAAGAGACCCAAACTAGGCTGACGCAACACCTGTCCAATACCCCAATAGTTATCTAACCGATGTCAGTTCATGATGAAATCCTGTAACCAATCAAATCAAACCTCTACAAACCGATACTTGAACTCCTGAAGTATGACGTCATGGTCCAACTAGTCGGGGCAAATACTTGCTGTACTTCACGAACTGGAAATATTTAGAATTCATGGACAAGCCATTGAATTCCGTTCCAGCGGCTGTCTGGTTACTGAGCTGACCGTGTAGCCTGAAAGTCCTAAGCTCGATCTTT